CCTTCAAGATGATGAAACTTACATTGATCTTAAGTCATAAATGACATTGACTTTCAAGGTATAATTATTTTTTTTTGTGATGTAACAGACCGTCCCCATCTCAGGAACCAGAAGCAATATTTACTTGAACTTGAAATATCCTTGCAATATCACAAAGAAGCCTTTATCTTTAATGGTGGATAACAATATAAATCAGTGTGAGAGTTTATAATTTTATTTTACAAATAATATTGAATTCAGGATGAAAGTTTATTTCATGAAGAATGAGTTCATGTAAAATAAAAGTCATAAAAACATCATAAAGAGTCTTCCAGATTTTCACTGATGTAATAAGTAATCACACTTCCAAAGATTATTACTTAGTTATATGTCACCTACATTGTAGTATTTACACTTTTCAAGATCTTCAATAGATCACTTTTGTCAGTAATTGCAATCACACTTTTTCAATATTGCAAGGATATCAATACCATATGTTAGTATATTGTATTTTTTTTTCAAATTGTCAACAAATGTCATTGATTTCACATTTACAATGAGTATGAAATTTCATTTACTTAGTCACTGGCCAATAAAAAATTCTGTTTTTTTGTTTATTCCTTCTGTAGGGTTTCCAAAGCAATCTTCAATATCTTGAGTATGCTGGAAAAAAAAACAACAAATGTATTTTAATACTTAATTAATATTTATTTGAACAAAGAAGCTTAAAAACAAAAGCTGAAACAAGACTGAAGTTGTGAAATAAAATGCAAATGACTTGTTTTGTGCTGAATCTAAATAAAAACAAAAGTAGTTTATCATTTGCAAGTACATACCACCTGACAATGATCAACCAAAGGCAAATATTTCAGAATAAGAAACAGAACACAATTATCACTTATAAATGTTAGAATATATAGGTATTAGTGTAAATATCTAGGTGGCTCAAAATCAACCAAGTCTCTTTCCTATCCTAATCAGTTCCCCTCTAGCTAAATATTCCTGTCTTAACTAGGGCTGTCTGATTGATGGAAAATTTTGTATTGATATATCAAGAGACAAATATCGACTTTGAAAGTAGATAAATGAAAACATTAAAATATGCATTATGAATTGGAATCATGGTGTTATGCATGCTTGTATTAGACATTACAAATACTACAAACTAACACAAAGTTTTTTCTGTTATTTTTGTCACTCACATTTGAAAAAATAGTTTAAAGTTCATTATAAGACAAAGTTAGCCAAGAAAACTTGAAAAAAGTGACTTCTCTTATTAGGCAAAATAGACAGGTATATACCAGTAAATGAATTGAGCCGCGTCACGACAAAACCAACATAGTGGGTTTGCGACCAGCATGGATCCAGACCAACCTGCGCAGTCTGATCAGCAGATCCATGCTGTTTGCTGTCAGTTTCTCCACTTGTAATAGAGTTGGTAAGCGAACAGCATGGATCCTGATCAGACTGCGCGGATGCACAGGCTGGTCTGGATCCATGCTGGTCGCAAACCCACTATCTTGGTTTTGTCGTGACGCGGTTAAATTTTAGCTTTTATTGATATTTGAAAGTGTGTAACGATATTGTATTGTATGATATAGCGATAATAAATGACAGCCCTAGTCTGTACTGGTAGCGGGTGAAAGATTTTTATAATAAAAAGGGGCTACTTTTATACATGTTCATTTACACCATGAATTGCTGTGATCAATTCTACATTAAAATGATTTAATCATTCACTTAAATTTAAATAGAACAGAGAAATTGGATACACTTACACTGTACTTTTCTGTCTTGATTAAAAATATTAAAGATTTTTGACATGTATTTTACTTTATACGATTTACAGACACTTCACCCCGACACTTAACCCTAGACCCTTTTTTGCAGACACTTCAGCCCTCGGACAGTTCACCCCTCATTTTAAGGAATTTGATTGAGACACTTCAGTCCCCATTTTTTTCTTTTGTGTTTAACAATTATTTCTGTAGAAAATGTTAAATGTAATCAATAGTGATAGAGTATCTTTATTGTTTTAACCTAACATATTTTATTATTATTCTATCATGTAATTGACCAAAGACAATGGATATATTGTTGCTTTTGCCCTACAAAAAAGGCTCATATCACAGTTAATAGAAAATTTTTAGCTCACCTGTCACAAAGTGACATGGTGTGCTTTTGCGATCGTTTTTCGTCCGTCCGTCATCTGTCCGTAAACTTTTACTTTAAATGACATCTCCTCATAAACCACTTAGCCAATTTCATCTAAACTTCACAGAAATGTTCCTTTGGTAGTCAACTTTAAAAATTATTCAAAGAATTTAATTCCAAGCAGAACTCTGGTTACCATGGCAACAAAAACAAAGAACTTAAAATAACTTCTTTTAGAAAACCGTAAGAGCTAGAGCTTAAAAATTTGGCATGAGACATCATCTAGTCAGTGTCTACCAAGTTTGTTCAAATAAATGTCCTGAGGTCAAAATTGGCCCCGCCGGGGGGGGGGGGGGTTATTGATTTTTCCTCATTTGTTTTATAGTAGTAAAAACTTAAAAAATCTTCTTTTAAAAAACCTTTAGAGCTATAGCTAAGATATTTAGCATTAACATCTTCTAATAGGTGTCTACCATTTTTGTTCAAATAAGGGCCCTTGGGTTAAAATTGGCCCCGCCCCAGGGATCATTGATTTTCCTTAAATGTATATATACCATAAAATAATGTTAAGATGGTTTTATGAGACAAACAGAACTTCCCAAACTTTTCCATGTCGTATGCAAAATATTTTCCGAAGTATTGATTTACCTAAAATGGGGTTAAGTTATTGCGCACCATGGATAATCAAACTAGAATTTTCAAGGTGTTGCTTATTTTTGAAATTCGAAAGTTCTGTTATGTAACTTTAAATAACAGGAAAAAACTTCAAAACAAATAAATCATTGTACTATTTTAAATGCTGTTTAGCATAGAAAATAAATGTCTCTCTGATTGATGAAGTAATGTGGATGCCTTACTGGTAAAAATAGACTGTACTGGACGAAAATGATAAACGGCCAGAAAACTACTAGGGGACGGAAACTGCTAGGAAACCAGTATATTTTTATCTTTCACAATATTATTAATTTCACATAAAATAATAATTAAGTCCTTTAATTAAAAAGTTATTAATCAAATAATATTAAAAATGATTTATATAAATAAAAAATTGGATGAGGGGTGAAGTGTCTTGACGGGTGAAGTGTCTGCCGTCTGGGGTTGAAGTGTCTTCCTACCCTTCAGACAATAAAGCTCTATATAAAACAGTTGTTTGGAAATATAACCCTAGTCTCTAGTTGCATGTCACATTACTACTTTTAAATTTAAACTTTTATAATATTATGCTTAAAGTTCCTTTTATCTGAGTGTAAGCTAAAGAAATACATATCAACGTACATCTACTTACCAAAAGTTTTTAGCAAATTAAGTCCTGAATCCAGGTGAATGATTTGTACATCTTTTTCTCGAGTGTATATTTGTCAATTGGAGGTTTTTTTAACATTTTTGAAACCTCATCAAGAGTGTATTGAATATAAATCTTCAATTTTATTCCATATTCTCTAATTATAACTTGATTGCATTCATTATAATGTTGACTTTTGTAGATGTCAAACCGTATCCGAAATATCAGTCCGAGCACTATTATACTTATAGCTCTCCGATTTATCGCAGGTTCCCAACATCATGTAAGGATTGGGCTATCCAGAAAACGTACTGTTTCTTTTTTAAGACAATAAAAAGTCAGTTCTGCATTCGTAAAATACGTTCTTCATACAATAAAGCATTCATTTAAAATGTTAAAATATTCAGAAAATTGCCTCCACTGGAACGGAAATTTCCGGTTAGCTGCGTTGTTTGGCTAATATACGAACGAATTATTTTCATCGGATATTATTATGATTAAATCCACGTCAATTCCAAAATGGATAGTAGCTGGATTTGTTATTTGAGTAAGCGAATGAACAAACCGTCTGCTAATCGACCATTTTTTTCTCTTCATTTTTATCCCTTAACTTTTTTCCTTAAAAGTTAAGGGAGCATATGGGCTACCTTAATATTTAAGGGGAAAATCGGCCAAAATTAAGGAATTTTTATCCTAAGGAGTTTTATGAATAGCAACTAAGGAAATTCATAAAAAGTAAGGGAAATTCTTAAAAAGTAAGGGAAATCTTACGTTTTTTAAGGGAAATCTTAGAATCTAAGGGAATTTTTTCCCTTAGGAGCTTTATGAATACGGCCCCAGGTCTTCCTGCATCAGTAAAGCTGGTACATCACCAAATGACCTTTACTCTGTCTGTGTGATGTAAATCCCAATCATGCCCATAATTCTGTAGATCTAATTTGGACTAATCCTATGGAAAAACTTATCAAAGGGAGGTAAATGCATTATGTCTGAAAAGTTCGTAACTTGAACTGGTTTTATGTTGTTAAACATATGAAGTAAAGAATACCTATTTAAATCTTCTTACCAGCCCATCATCTTGTACAAAATGTGCATTTACATGGAATGGAGGTAATTTTACCTCATACAGTATGTACATTTACATGGAATGGTTGTAATTGTCCATGGTATAGTATGTACATTTACGTGGAATGTTGGTAAATTTTACATTGTACAATGTGTTTGTTATTTAACATGGAATGTTACTGGTACAGTATGTACATTTACATGAAATTGTGGTAAATTTTACCCCAAACAGTTATTACATTTAACATGGAATTGTGGTAAATATTACACCAAACAATATGTACATTTAAAATGACATTGTTGGTAAATTTACTGGTTACAGCAAGTACATTTTACATGAAATTGTTGTAAATTTTACACCATATAATAGTATGTACATTTAACATGATTGGTGGTCAATTTTACCCTATACTTTTGTGGTAAATTCAAATGGGACAGTATGTATATTAGACATGAAGTTGTGGTAAATTTTGTTTTTGTACATTTTATACATTTATCACAGAATTCTAGTATATTCTACCTTTTTAAGTCCTTTGACAACCCCAGCCCCTGGTACAGTATGTGCATTTGTAATATCTGCCCAGTCAGCAATTTTATGTACCCCACCTTTATACTGATGTAGAACAGTTTTTCCTATATCAGCAAACTTTCTGGAAATGAATATATGAATATGATTACTAGTATACTCAACATCACTAATTCTGCGTCATCATTTATTTCATGGTAATGGCATATTTTCATGTCACCAGTTTTAAAATTGGTCAGAATTGACATAATTTATTCATACACCTAAACAACAAAGTTTTTGTGCAAAATAGTTTACATATCTAGATTTTTGCGTAAGATAGAACAATATTTTACAAATTTCTGCAAAAAGCAACAATAGTCCATTAAATGTGTGCATACATTTATGTCTGAAACAATCATCATTTTCTTAATCTTCTTGTTTATTGAAAAAATAAATTTTGAGTTACATTATAAACATAGTTTAATATTAGAAAGTAAACAAAATAACATTTAGAAATTTAAACTGAAACATGAAAAAACTGAAGTGTAACACCATTATTGCGATTTAAATGATGACATACTGTTTTCAAAATGGCCAACGTATGATCTTATTATAACTGATTTTGACTAAATATATTGTTGTTTCCTTGTGTCATGCAGCAGAAAATACCTATATGTTACAGCTTATGACAATTTTTGTACCATAAGTTACATTTGTTACTTTATTTCATGTTCCAAATCGTTAAGTACAGTGAACTAAGAGGAGCACAGTATAACGCAGAAGAAATAGAGTTATACATACTGAAATTCCTCATTAAACGCACATAACATGTAAATTTTTACTAGAATTTTGAATCTTTATACCTTTCCTAAAATCTTAGTACATTTTTCTCAGGTTTGATTTTATCGGAATATTTTTGCTCATATGGAGTCATGCAGCTTTAATAAAAATATACACTGTAATAAGCCTACCTATCTTCGAAAATGAGGAAGTTATGTTTTTGGGCAAGTTCGCGTATTTTCTCTACAAATTCTTCGTTAAAATCGTCTATAATGTCAGCGTGTGTCTTCACAATACACACTTTACTGCCCACCTGTTCAACCATCTGAAACAGATATCAATAGGATATATTTTTTTTGTTCGAGTGATATATAGAATATATTTTCACTGAACAAGATAAAATTCCGTATATTTTCATAAGCTAGAACACTACTTTGATGCCTTTGTATTTGTAAATGTTTGTAAATCTTAACATGTGCATAAGTGATAGCGGCACTGACACAGCGGACCAGAGGAACTGTTCTGCTAGTATGTTCAAAATGATTTTTTTTTTGATGTCATGTGGCAATGTAACTATAAAAAATTTATAGAAAATAACATAATATTTTGTTCCAGGACGATTTTTTATGTTTTATATGAACATCGTTCCTGTGTGTTAAACGGCCGAAACATTCTACGTTACAACTTTTTCGAGAAATAACTACAAGGTTATAAAAACATTATTCATAATATTACATATCATAAATTTCATGAAAATCAATTTTACACCTTTTAAACAAAAAACATCATTTCTTACCACTCCGAATAAAGAACACAGCAAACTAAATGACAGAGGTCAAAATTTAAGTTGAATTTAAGATATTTCAATGCAGGATAAGTAGAAAAATGTTTTTGCATTTAAAAGCTACTTGTCCTGCAAGACAAATGACTTTTTGATCCCTGGTTAATACAAATAAAACATAAACAACCTGTAAGATATCTTTGCAATTGGTCAGGTCCACAGAGATGGCAAGGTTTGATTGCTTCTGTTCCATTATTTCTAGCAATTTCTTGCTCACTGAATTTGAGCATAAGTTTGCTCTTTCTTTGAATGTCATTGCCTGAAGAAATAACGTGCAAAATGTTTAACTTTTTTTTCAAAGGCGTCAAACTTTACAATTTAATTCATGTTCAAAGCAGCATGCCTCCTCCAGATTCATGCTTATTTTCATGCAAAATCAGTCAATAATTGCATAAAACAGGTAAATTATCTTTTAAAATGTGAATTTTTTTTTTTTCTTAAAATTTTAGTACATTTTTCTCAAGGTATTTTCTTGAAATATTTTGGCTCATCTGGAGGCGTGCAGCTTTGAATATCTACGTTAAATGTGAGAAATTTACTCAATTACACTGCAGCACTTTTGTTATAGAGGTCAGTGAATTTTTTTTGTTAAGTATATAGATTTGAGAAAAAACATAAATCTAAAACTAACAGCTTTAGCTTTGTTTGCAGGAATATCTCCACTTCCTTTAGTGGGTTTATCAAATCTATTTTCAGCAACAAACTTCAGCACACTATCAAACATTTTCTCGTCAATTTTCCCGTGCTTTTTGAGGACCCTCACCAGCTGGGTCATTGTAATCACACTGAAGAAGACAAAAAAGAATGTTTAATTAAAATGTTTCTACCCATACAACCAGTGCAGACCAAGATCAGATGGCACACCTGATTAACGTCTGCGCGGTTAGCTTTTCAGTCAGAACATATTCTGAAATTGTCCCTATTAAAAATGAAAAAATAATATAACAATACAAATAAAAAGTCCAGAAAGTGAAATGAACAAGACCATTTAAAATGTTTGATGTGGTAAGGGTTAAAGCTGGGTATGAGGATTTTGTTTCTTCTTTCAAATGTTGGTACTATTCATGTTATACAAGTTAAAAGATGTTTAATCAAACTGACATAAACATGCAAATAATTATGCAGCTTTTAAAAATACATTTATTTACATTAATAATTTTGTGTAATTTACAATATTCCCCATATAAAGACAAAATTTCTTAACCATATAAATGAAAATCATTATTGCCATGTAAACTATGACTTTTCGCCATATAAACACAAATTTTCTTACCACACATTTTCTGAACCATATAAATAAAAATTATTATAATATTACCATATAAACTATGACTTTTCCCATATAAACACACATTTTCTTAACCATATAAACCAAAATTATTTTTTCCTTATAAACTATGACTTCCCACCCATATAAACCCAAATAATATTACCATTAAACTATGATTTTTTCCCTCATATTAACACATATACATTAAAATTATTATTACCATAACATTATGAAGTATGACTTTTTTCCCATATTAACACATGTAAACCAAAATTATTATCACCATGTAAACTATTACTTATTTCCCATATTAACTTTTTTTTCTTAACCATATAAACCAGAGTCATTATTACTATGTGACTATGACTTTTCCCCCATATAAACACAAATTTACTTAAACATATTAATATAAATGTTCTTAGCCATATAAACCCGAGTCATTATAACTATGTAAACTATGGGTGTTCCTTAATAAACCAGGACTTTCCCCTCATTTACCATGACACAACAATTCTTTATAAATATCATTAAATCATACGTTTATACTATAAAAACAATATTGTTTTTACCTTATAACATAGAATTTTTCCTAAATAACCTAATCTGATGATCAAGTTTATCAGAATTTTGTACCACAAAACAATAATTTTGATTCTGTTCTCTAACTTATTAGTCATTGCTGACCGTGTGGGTTTAACACCCCTTCAAGGGCAAACGGTTGTTTCCTCCAACAAGAAACTTCACATTCATTGCTATGTACTGGTTGGTTCCAGGAACAGATTGGAGAGTGGATTAATAAGCTTATAGCTTCCTTACACAATCAAAATAAACTAAATTTGTATGAACTAAAACTACACTAAGTTGTAAAATTTACAAAATATTATTTATAAAGTCAGTGTGAATTAAAGACACGGATGGCTCCACATTCAACTGTTTTGTGAGTTTGGGGACAGACAGTGACTGACGGCCAAGGGCAAACGTGTAACATGCCCCACTCCCCCTCTAAGTGTGTGTGTGTGTGTGTGGGGGGGGGGGTATCAAATTAAAAACAAACAATAACCTATGTAAATTAACTCCATCTTTCTTGAGTCGTTCTGTTCCACCTTGCTCTCTCTCCAGCAAAACAACCGCATCCTTAACTTGTAAACCATACTCATTTAAAAGCTGAAAAAATAAAATCTTTTAACCCTTCAACAAACAAATTTTAATGACATGCAAAATTTCCTAACAATGACACACTAAATACCAATTTTCAATTTTAATTCAAAGTACATTTCTATATTATTTTTTCTCATAATTTTTTGTTTTAAATTCCCAAATTGATTTTTTGAAGTTTTTTGTTTTTAGGTGGTGCTCCTTTAAGATAATTTCTATCAAAATTCTTTTTTATACATATATTTATATAAACTAGTAACATTTCCATAAACTCCCAACTCTTGACTGCTATTGTCAATATAAGCACACACTTGAGATTGACCAATGAGATATTCTAATTCCTCTGATTATTACATTATGACTTAGATTGTGGTACTAAATTTTACCAATTTTTTAAATCAACTTGTCCATCTTACAAACTGTACAAAACCACAAATCATTTTTAGGGAAAATTTTTTCAAATACAATGTATGAACTGCACGAATAGCAAACAGCAGAGAAAATAATCAGATGTGCTGCTTAATCTTGGTCAGCTTGGCTGATGGTTAACATGTTGGACTAGTAAACTTGGGATTGCTGGCCGCATGGGTTCAAACCTCAGGTGCAAGCTGTTATTTCCGTGAGCAAGAAACTTTACACTCATTACTTAGTTTTGGTTGGTTCCAGGAACAGATTCGTAACTGTTTCAATATATAGCTTATAGCTTCCAACACAATCAAACTAGAATAAATTAGGATAACCTAAACTGATCTTGGACTGTACTGGTCACATGGGTGCAATAGATTGGTGCAAGTAGTTTTTAAAGCTAAATAAAAGATCTCAGCCTATTCAAAGCAATGCAGATGTATTTGTTATACTCAAATGTATCCTTTTTCAAGTTTGAGTTACATCCCTTTGACTTAGAAATTAATAAAATGTATAAATGCTTAATAGTTCATTTCTAACTAAAACTAGTGCACAATAAATTGTTCTTTATCATTATAGTAAATATTTCAAACACGCTGTTAACCTTTTCCAAAATCAAGTAATCATCGATAAATTTTCCACTAAAAATCTTTTAAGATGTGGTTGCATTTAAATTTATTATAATAGAAAAAGCAATGTAACTGTTACATACTTCAACAGTTTCATAAACGCTGGAACCACTGGTAACTACGTCTTCTACCACAAGGCACACATCTCCTTTCTCATACTTTCCTTCAATCATTTTCTTTGTCCCATAATCCTTTGCTTCGCGTCTGCGGATCAACATCGGCACATTATTATCAACTGACATCACCTGTAGTGTAGTATAAAAGTACTATGTTAAAACTAGGAAAACTAAGTAGTAACTTTGAATTTACCATATAATGCCCATGTCCATTAAGTTAAACAGCAAATGCAGTGCTTTAATGCAGCCAAAGGTGCCTTTATAAATTTACACAAAATTATTATATACAGGCATTTTTTCCAAATTATGATAAATCTGTGAACAACTTTGGATTTGAAATGGGAACCAAAATATCATAAATCTGTGAGCAACCTTGAATTTGGAGGGGTAAAAATTGTAAAATAATCATAAATCTGTGAATAACTTTGGATTTGGAATTTTACAAAAGATCATATTTAATCTATGAACATCTTTGCATTTGGAATGGGTACAAAGTATCATAAATCTGTGAATATTTGTTGAAGATATTAATACTAACAGATGCAATTGGCAAAGCTGTGTAAGGCACTCCACAAATTGACACAAATTTCTGAGCATTTTTTGCTACTTCCCATAACACTTGTGACACTTCACGCTGAAAATATAGTTATAAAACATTTAATATATTATGCTGTCATGACCATCATTATTGTATGAGTAGTGTTTACATATGATACATGCCTTAAATGAAATATTGCTTGTTTGTCAACCCACTCTCAAAATTTGTTTAGAAGATTCCTTTTTCATTATTTACTTTCATGCAGACTGATAAAAACTCATTTTTTAAAAAAATAAACAGTATTATATTAAACATGAGGGCTGTCCAGAAATTTGATAGACACAGAGCACTTTGATTTCATTACATCAGCTTCTTGGATAAAAAAATTGTTATATCAATAATCAAAGGACACCTTTGCATGATAGTTGGTGAAAATCATGATGTCATATGGATATAAAAAACTTGTTAAATGATGGTAAGATGAACTGAAGGTTTTGTTAAAATTGTGTTGCAAAAACTATGTCAATTTCAGGGTCGGAGCAATGTTAAGTTATTTAACTTTATGGCAATGCTTATATGGGACTGACTGATGCTTGGACGTTTATTTTCAAAACTGATTTGACCACTGATTGTTCAAAGCAACTTGTGTCTTAACATCAAAACAGATTAAGAAGGGAGAATGGCAAGTGTATTGGATAAAAAGCACACTGAACAACCAGAAGAAAAACAGCAGAAATATCGTAGGTGGCATTAGCCAGCCAAAATATCCTAGATTGCATTCTTTGAAAAAGATAAATCTCTCACTGTAGGGGTATTATGTGATATTCTTGTTTTAAAATGCATTGTGACATATGAAAAATAAGCAATCATTTCAAAAGAACATTAAACATTCAGACAGATACCATACGCTGTTTGAAACAGGAAAAACTAGAATAGCGGGTAGACACGCCATTGGACTTATTACGGATATATGATGCGAAGGGTGATTTGTTCCTATCAAATGCTATTGATAAAAGATAGGTTCATTTATATAAACCAGAATGATATAAGAGAAGTTGAAATGTAAAACACCAAATTCTCTTAACCTGTGAAATATGAATAAGAGAATTATGCAAAGAAGTATGTTTTTCTCATTGAACCTTTTCCCAAGAATGAAGTGGGAATAGCAAAGAAAAAAGTTTGTTGACGTCATCGGGGTGTTCCGTGATGATGTGTATATTTTGAATGTAAAGATTATTTAAAATGCAAATTTTGATCATAATTTTTTGCAAATGTTTTTGTTAGATATGTATATACTTACTTGCAAACCACTTGATGAATAATAAATTAGTGCACCACTTAGTGCATCATACACATACTTCTACTTCTACATTATACTGCTTTAAAATTGTTTAGAATCACTCTAAGCAGGTATACATTGTATACATTAAAGAGACAGCTACGAGATACAAGGGAATCCGGGAACTAGTCCCTAGCTCTTATTGAATAGACTCATATTGGTTCTTTTACATGCCCAGTGATAGCACTGATACATGCGAGGATTACCTGGATTTCTTACCAGTACACCTCTAGGTAGGTGGGAAACACTGAAAGTGTCTCTGAAAAATCCCTAAGGTGTAACCCAGGATCAAACCCGGAACCTCAGGAGTGAAAATCAGTGGTTTAACCAACTGAGCTACAAATGTATCGCGCCACATATGATGCATACTGGCATATCATGAACTAATCTGGTAATATACTAGAACTGACCACATTTATTTATATAGTAAACAGGTAAAGAAAGTCATATCCCGTCTAGAATCCAAAAGATTATAAATAAGAAAATAATAAAGAAGTTTTTGACTTTTATCATTCTAGAGTTAGGTTCTCTTAACAGATTTTTGGGGGTTATATCTTAAATAGAACAAAATCCATGCCTTATCACACATAATCAATATTTTACATAATCGGCCTAAATATGCATATTAAGATATATCTAATTGTAGTATATAGCCCATATAAAACATAAAAAAATAGTTTGTTTTAAGCACCTTTGCCGTAAAACATATATTTACAAAACAAGAGCTCGCGAAAACTAATGATAATAACAAAATTTACCATCAACTGAGGATACGAGACAATGACACGTAAATCAAAGTATGCCGGAGACTGTATCCCACTTTTTAGCTTAAAATCGCCAAATTTAACACCTTCAACCTCATATAATTTTATGATTAATTCTTCTAACCGGCTATCGATGTTCATTTTGTTTTTACGTGCGGAAAAGCTACGACTTATTCCGTACATTCTCGGCCCTTTCCGGCAAACTTCGGATAAAGATTTTCAGTCATATACAATAATACACATACATGTATATATAATGTAAAATATCATAAAAAGAGTTCCACAAAATATACTTATGTACTGCAGGACAAATATAAATCAAAAACGAAAGTGTTACATTATGAAAATCAGCACAGATTTATATTACTAATATATTATTATACATGTAATCACGGATTTATACGGTTTATATTACAATGTAAATCCGTGATGTAATATAAATCCGTGCTATCAGTTACTTAAATGCTGATAGACTACAACACTGCAAGTTTTAACAATATACTCCTACTAGTACCAACAGTACTACCATCACACGCCAGCCAAGATTAAAAATATATATGTTATAATGTAAAGACATTTCTTTTATGTACTGATTTACTAGATTTGTTTTCATTTATATTCATTGAAAATTTATAGACCTTTAGCCTGCTTGCACCAACTGCCCCAGCGACAAATGCAGGCCAAGATTAGCCAGTACGTACATCTATACGCTATTCAGGCAGCATGTATTTTGAACATTTTCTCTGAAATTATGAATAGGTTTGTGCAGAATGAAAGCTGGAAAAGTCCATGTAAAATATTTAGCGTGGTGAGAGTTATAAAAATATTCGTAAAAAAGTGTGTATTTGTCATCATTACCTGTCATTCGAGGAAAAAGAAGATATATTTCCTATGTATATGGTATAATTCGATATTTAATTAAAACACTATAACATTATATATATAAAAAGAAGCAGTGGTCAATAAATTAAGTGGTTAAGCCCCCCCCCCCTCAAGCAATGGATGTGGGGTTCAAGCGCTAATGCGGACACATGCATGTTTTCAAATTTGACGCCAATGCTGGTAAGGTCCAAGAACTGGACTCTAAGATGGTTCACAAAAGCCTCAAGCTTTCACCAAATATTATGCAATTAACTGCATTTTACTTAACACCTTGTCCAACGACTTTAAAAAGAGTGGTTTAACCCTTCGAAACGTCGTCGATTGTCTATATATAGATATATATATTTATTCATTTTTTTATTATTTCCAGAGTAGTTGCTAACGAGATATACGAAATGATTAAAAGGTTTTGCGTGGGTTAGGAACAATGCTTCTTTTACAATGGTGTCAATATTTAGACAAGTTCGTAGTGGGATTTTGTTCTCACTCTTTCCCACGTGATTAATGTGTAACTTAAAACCTCATTCCAGAAAAAAAGTGATTATGGCAAGATTAATTATAATTTAGATAATGCAGTTGTCCTTTAATCATTTGCATTTCTGAAAAATACTCATTTATTAAAACAAATATCACGCGAATACTAAGAAAATGTCGATATTTATATAGAATGTTGGCGCTTCCTTTAAAATTCTCAATTCCGTATCTAAAAGGGAAGGACATTTTGGTAAGTGGCAACAACTCAATTTAACCATGATTTTGAGGTGAACGTACATTTATCACATACCCGTGTCGATTTAATGGTATTGCACGGCCGTGCATATATTTTGACGTGACTTTAAAGGCGCGTCAATGAAAAATGACGCTATTGAACGCGGTTCACTTTGCAAACTTTCGAGTAGCGTCTTGAAAATTGGCATGCAGAAGGTAAACCATATTTCTGATTAGATTCTGTTAATTTCATTTCAATAGTTTCAGCAAATTTTTGTACACACAACGTCAAAGTTGACCATCAAGGCCAGTTCTGGAACATGACGTCGTTGCGTATCCGTGGCAACTGTTACGGGTATCATAACGCCATTGGCGGAAAGAATATCTTCACTTCTACTGCATAAAACGTAAATTATTTTTTCCAATAAGCTGATATAAAATTTTTCGTTTTACGCCGAAAAATGTTTGAAAAATGGAAAGAATACTGTCAAAATTATTTGACAGCTCTAAAGCGGCTTTTTAAAAAAATCGATAAGTAGAATATTAAATTCATGTAAGTTAAATTAATTAGTACTAGAAATTAAGGGCATCGAAACACGAGGCTACCGGATTTGTACGAGGGGGCGTAGCCCCCGAGTATTAATCAGATTGCCGAGTGTTTTGATGTTCTTTCTCGTTTAGTATCATAGTCAAACAAAAACACGTTCCCTGTTGTCACAATATGAAACCTAAGAAAAAAGTGACCAATGAATGAGCATCTGAATATATTTCTATCGCTTTCCCTTTCTCTACCGTCACAATGAGTAATGAGCCAATCAATGGGCATGCTCTGGCCGGAGTGCAGGTAACTAATATCTGCACTCCAGTTAACGCACTGTGCATATATATGTATAATACGGTTTAACTCTGACATTTTTCAACAGAAAGGTCCCCAAACTATGATACAACTGTATTTATTGGACTCGTTGAATAAAATAATATCATTCTCGCCATGCAGATGCTCGCATGATAAATTCAGTATTGAACTTGCACTCATTCAATATCCCGTATTTATTACATATATCTTATTTACAATTTTGATGCACGTGATCATTCTTTGATATAATGTAAGGGCCATAAGACCATAATCAAATGTTCTCTGTCCTTCTGTGGACACTTATTCTGTTCAGAACAAAGTTAATAAGGAGAGCATACTGCTATATATTCTCATCCGTTCTGATCTGGGAGGAAATGTTAACTCCTTTTTTTCTGTGTAACATTCGACAATAAAGCTTGTATCACCAGCGGCAAATTTGTTATTTGTTTTAGAAGACAAATATCAACGCTTCACATCAGCTCCTAAATAACACTAAGCGTTATGATCTAACATCCATACATAGGTAGGCACCTTCATTGGCGAGCTTTCATTATTTTGAAAGCGATGCGGTTTCTAATAATAAATACTGAGAGGTTAATATTCACGAATTTCGAGAACAAACATGGCTGTTGTCCATATAGCCGACAGGTAAACTGCCCATTAAAATGACTATTATTACAAGTTAATTTGTTAAAAAGTACTTCAAACATTTATTTTTCTAACAAAAATCAACATCCACGGATAACGTTATTCTGTTACTTCTTCTAATGCCTGTCTGTAAAAACCGGTTTGATTGAATGACTAAAATAGCTTTCTCTGGAAATCCGAATTATAAAGAAGGTTAAACATATAAGGTGGTCATCAGATCTTCATAGAAGAAATAAATAGATTCGAACTTAAGTCAGAATGCGATTCACAGTGATTCAAATATTGAATCATAATAATTTCTGTCATAAGAAATGTACCAAAAATCAAGTTTGCAAACCTTATAACAAACTTGCAATCCTCTTACAGAATATACTATTGACATAAACTATTCATTGGGTTTTGTGTCAGCTTACAAACTGCTATGCTTTTAATTCCAAGTTCTTTACCACTCCAGTGCTTGTAATATGTCAATTAAAACAAAATATCAAATGCATGTTCTCCATAGGTAATCTTCCTGTCCAGATTAACACCTTTGAACATTAGCCTAGTGGCGACAATAGATCTACCAATGCGAAAAGTTGGCAACAAATTTTGCCGTCACTTCCGTGCCAACTGATCATGGTCTGTACTATACGTTATTCAGTCAGTACATATTTTGAAATCCTCCCATAAACAGGTGAATGTCTTTGTCCTGATTTAAACATGGATTTTTTTTTGAGAAAATAAGAATCTCTAAACCCTGTAAACATGCAGTGGTTGGGTCAACCACGGAAAATCGTCATAGGAAAGTCGTTGTTGGGCCATGGTTGGCCCAACACTAATAAACATGTACTATAAATGCAGTTGTTGGCCCAACGTCGAACCAACCATAAGTTAACGCCAGCGACTTTTCTGCATTGGCCCAATAACGATAAATATATACTTTAAAACAGATGTTGGGCCAACGTTTGACCAACTATACATTTTCGTCAAATATATTACTGCACCTGACCCGAAATTTATTTTTTTAAAGACAGATATGCATGTAGATATTTTACTGTACATGTATATAAACAGTACACTGCAATGAGTAAAGACTAAAGTTTATAAAAAAATTTGAAGCCATGTTTCAATTAATATTGTCACATTCAAGAAATACTCATATAAATTAAATGAGAAATGTAAGAAATAATTACTTTAATATACAAAATTATGATGCATGTATAGAAATCATTGTTTGATTAAAGTACACAATATTGTACACAACTGACTAACATGATTCATTTGAATTAAAATATATATAAATAAATACAAAAAATGCATTCAGATCTGTAATTATGTAAAAGATTAATACAGAAAATGGAATTATATTTTATAATGTGTATATATTATGAATAATGGCGGTAAAGGCGGAAAGAGTTAAGATTTTTTTTACCCGTGCAAAAGTAAATTAAGTTCAGCTAAAAGAAGTATTGAGAACAATAGCTGCATATGAGACCCTGTAAGTATTGTTATAAACTGATATAACTGTTTGTGTGTGTATTATAAATGATATGATCTGAGATTAGTTTATTTGAAGTGTACGATAAATATTTGCCAGTACTATGTAATACATATATATGTCATAGGATATATATATATATATATATATATATATATATATATATATATATATAATATATATATATATTATATATATATATATATATATATATATATATATATATATATATATATATATATATCCTATGACAAGATTACTGGCTAATAACAGTCTTCTGATGTCACTTAAAACGTATGTTTATGTCGGAAAACGAATCTCACCCTTCCTCATTTCGTCTTAATCCGTCGAAATATTGATGGACCTGATGGAACACCGTAATTACAAGTTTAAAGGTAGTATAGCCTCTCTACTGGTTGTATATCATAATACTATGGCAGACCATTATCGCCAAAGCTACGCTTTTAAAACCGAACAAACAGGACTTAGCTTTTCTACGATTTTAAGCATTCTTGTCTTGCAAAAATGTTACTATCCAAAAAAAAAATGTTTTGCTCGCGTAGCAGATTATAATTCTAACTAGCGCTCCAACAATAAAACAATAAATTTTAAATAACATATATATAACAAGTATCCATGGCTTGACAAGTATATTCCACAACATCGCGAAATTTCTCATGTTTCTTATCTGTTTGTGAATTAATTACATTCTAGGAATTGAAAGAAATAAACACTTGAAACTACATTTATATAGACGTATTATCAATAAGATAAAAGTACATGTACAAGAAACATTATACTATCTACATAACAAATACAGGTTACCATAGAAAAAAAAACTTGATATAGATTCTTAACCTTTGTAAATATATATGGCTTAATATCTATGAAGGGTATGTGCGTACGTGCGTGCTTTGCAAGCGTGCATGCGTTTACGAGCAAGCAATCGAATGAGTTACCTGTGTTGACAAAAACAAAAACAGATAACAACACATATAGTAACATATATTTATTTTCTCGTGAATATGTAATTTCACAAACTGAGAAGCGTAACTTGAAACAAGTTTTGGGACTTATTCAAAAATAACTAAAACTTTTCACAACAATAAGAATTATAACGTCTTGTCAATGAATAAAAAAAATCCAGTATAAGGTCTGATTGTTTAAAAACTTTTTACTGGGGTTGCCTGACATTACGGGACAAAAACAAATATGTTGTTTTTGTGTGTGTGTGTGTGTGTTTTTTTTTTCGAGATTTGTAAGCCATACCATGTAGTCTAGACCAATAACTTGTGTGCATATTTTTAGATCATTCCCTTGTCCACTTTTTCGAGAAATAATCATTTTTATTGAACAAACCCAAAAATAAAAACCGTTGAAACGCCTTTTACTGAGATAGGGCTAAAATCGCACAAAACTCGGACAATCTATTTTATTCTGAGTATATTTCTTCATTTTTCCTTTGCAGATTTTTCAATTTGAAGTAGGCCTACTTTACTTAAACTGTGAAAAAATTTCAATGTTTATAGGCTTTTTGACTTTTGTTTAAAAATGAATATTTGAAAACTAAATTGTTGACAATCATGATCGCAAGCAATATGAAAATAAAATGTTATATAAAATAATATAAATTCAGATCTGAAATAAGTATGAAATTACAACTTCATTCCTAACGGTAAAATGACGTCACCCTAAGCGTGCCATTGTACAGCACGCGACTCATCTGGCACCCCCATGCCAGATGAAATTTCCGGCATGGGTAAAACACACGGAAAGGCCAGTCTGCTATGCAAGAATATATTGGACTTTGCAGGGTCCAATACTGGAATTAATTATGTTGGCTGGTCATATTGAAAGATGTTTGCCTTCATTTGGCAGTTCGACTTTTCAACTTAGTTCGTACAAAGAATGTCAGTGTAAAAGTTTAACGTTTTTCAACTCTCATTTTAAAATTTAAAGGAGTAAATGTAAGTCCAAGTTCTCCTTTCTGGTCTGGATATTCATTATTATGTTCAGGTAAAAATTTCAACTTTTGAACAAGTCCTGCCGAAAATAGAAATATTTCGATAGTTGCCAAAGTTTCTCCCAAACATGACCTTGGGCCGAGTGAAAATGGCACGAATTGTTTTGGAATTATGACGTCATTTCCTGCCGCGTTCAAAAATCGTTCAGGTTTGAATTCTTCGGGATCTTCCCAGACGTCAGGGTCTTTGAGAGCGGTACTGAGGACAGGAATTATTGTACAAATTTCTGGTATAACATATCCCCGGAATAAGGTGTCTTGTTCAACAGTATGAGGTAATGATAACGGCACCACGTGAGAAATTCGGAGTCCTTCCAATATCACTGCCTGCATGTACGGCATTCGATTTCTATCTCCGATTGATAGTGCCTCGTTTCCAAGTACATTTGTCATTTCAGCATACAATTTTTCCTGTATATGCGGATTTCTAATAAGGTACAATAGTATCCATCTTATGACAGATGCACTGGTTTCGCTTCCTGCTGTTATTAATTGGTGCGCTGCTATTTTCATATCTTTCTCATCGAAAGTACTGTCGGTTTCGTTACTTTTGTTTGCTGCCATTTTCTCCAAGTAACATTCTACAAACGTCTTTCTTTGTGTGCCTTTCTTTTGATTTTCAAACTTTTCAATCCGTTTTGATAAAAAGTGCATTTCTGCTGCATAGTCAACCCTACTTCTTTCGATACCTAAAATGTCTCCAGGAACATGTTCTAAAAACGGAAGGCAATTGAGAATAACTTCTCTTGCAAGGAATCTTTTCGACTGGTCTCGTACTGTCTTTTGAAACCAATGCAAGCCTTCATCATTTAGATCGAATCTATATCCGTACACGACTTGAAATATCACATTCTGAAGGCTTGAGTTCAAGACGCGCTCTATATCAAATGGCTGATCAGACTTAAGTATTGTTTCTGTCAAGTCATTTACCTCGAACTCTACTAAATGTTCGAGAAAACCTTTATCTTTAAAACAAATTTCTTGTAAAGTAGATATTGCAAACTTTCTACCTTCCTTCCATATTCTTCCTTTCGAAAAGAATAGTCCTTTTGTGTGTTGATCTTCTTCTTGATCGAAACTTGGCAGAGCTCTGAACATAAATTTGGACCCTTTCTTTATCAACGCGTCATGAATTACATCATAACCATTTAGAAACACGAAAAGTTTACTTCCGGTATATAGTCCAAAAACGTCACCATACTGTTTCCGAAGTTCATTTAATCTGCCCAATATATCTCTCGTAGCCAACGATGGGAGATTTCCGACAATGGGGAACAAAGCTGGTCCAGGCGGCACTCCTTTTTGACGTCTTGTGTTTATATAAACTAGGAAAAATGTCACTAAAAACACTAAAGCTGTCGTTAAAATGCTGTAATCCGTTTCTTTGTAAAGTGCTGAATCCATTTTTAGCTCTCTTTACACGTCTATTTCCAATTTACTACAAGGTTAAACATTATAATACGTACCTCTATGTACTTTACGAATGTTTACGAATAGCAAACAGTCAATTCGCTCGAGTAAACACGCTATACCGAGTGCTCTTTCTCATATTACAAATTATGCCGATTTGATTGTTGTTGTTAGGGGGGGGGGGGTGTATTATGTTGTTGTTGTTTTGTGTTTTTTTTTCCTGTTTTTTTTTTCTTTTTTATGGAGGCGCGAAGTGGTTGCACACATGCTTTACACGAGCAAAATGGTTGCAAATTTGAGAAAATGGCAACCGAGTTATAAAAAATTGTGACACCCGCTCGAATTTTGTCAAGTTATTTGGTTTGCAGTTTTGTTTTGTTTTTTGTTTTTGTTGGGGGTGGTGGGGGGCGGTCTTTGGTTTTTTCTTTGAAATTTTTTAATGTCTATTCATTAAAGCAATGCTTATGACATTCTCAATTTTTGGGAACGTATCAGTTGCCTAGTATCTCATTTGACATACAAACTTGTAATGTATATATTTTGAGATTTAATGGCTTTTCTTTTCGTTTTCCCCCCACTCATTTATTCATATTTGACTTGACTTGGGCTTAATTATGTCTAATTCATGATTTTAAGAGACTTTTTGTTCATATTTTCTTTTATATACAATTTCAAGCATATGAAATATACAATCGATAGTTGGTGCTTAGTGATATAGCTTAGTCTCCAATGTTCTATTTATAATTTTACTGAAAGCGGCTATACAGTATTAAGTTACGTACAAATGCACTAGCTGTTTATAACTGTATTGTTGAACAAATAGAATTATATCAAAATAAATTCAGAAGACACTATCTACTTAAGGTATACGTATGTAGATCGTCGCAAAGACTTTTTAGTTCAGATTGTTTTTTCCTTTTTTGTGATCTCGATAAATTTTAAGAAAATAAAGCATGTTTTGAAAAGAAATATAAATCAAAGCACAGAAGGTGCTGAATTTGTTTGGATCTCAGAATGTCAGAAATTTAAGGATTATTTAAACCAATTTGTTTTTGTATAGTGTCACCAATGCTTTCCGGCGTTTTAATTGTAGTAAATTGGCTATAAGACTAATTGCAACACTGATATTCAATCCAATGTTTATTTGACTTACTTTAAACAATTTGAAAAAAAATGAGTTACCTTAACTGGGATTTGAACTCCAGACCTCTCGCTGCGCAAACCCCTCGGCCACGGTGAATTTATACATTAAATGCCTGAAGAAAACCATATTATTCTAATTTAGGCCCGGAAGACCAACACGGCATATGGGTCGGTTTGACCGAGCCTGTTCATGGACAGTTATGTTAATGCAAACTACCGTCCACGCCCCTAGTACCGGCCCCCCAATTAAAAAATGCATGTTTCCTAAACGAGAAAACAAAGGGCGGAACTTAATAAAATGGAATTTTGAAAGGGGATCTTTTGATGTATATCTTGTCTTTTAAACTATGCATGTTAAATATCATAGTTAACTTTTAAATCAAAATTATAGGTTTGAACGCACACTGATAGTTATCAAAAAATTACACGGTCGTTTGTTCCTGAATAAGAATAATGAATTTTTAAAAGACTAATTGTTTTCCATATTTCATTGTTTAAAGAAGGTTAGTTATCTCAGAAATATTCTAGACGTTGATTTTCATTTTATTTTGTTTCGTTTGATATCTTTGGTGTCATATTTCGTCCACAAAATTTCGCTAGAACGAGGGGAGGTGCGTTCAAATATGAATACAACTGGGTCGCTCGTTAGAAGTGCTTAACAAACAGTGCAACAATAATCATCCCAATTCTTTAAAATACTCACCACCATGCGATATACAAAGTTTTAGACTTTAAGTTTTAATCCAATTTATAGATGCGTTTTCATAATCTTTTCGAGGTATTCTGTTCAGACACTGGAAAATAGCCGAACCAAGATTTTTTTCGCGTTTTATATTTTCTTCCAGCAAGGTGTTTTTTGAGCCTCAGAAATAATAAAAAAGTCACATGGGGCAAGATCTGGCGTAATAAGGAGGGTGAGGAAGCTCGACAACCTTTTCCTGTTTCAGATATTCTCGTACAATGGCCGCTTTGTGTGACGAAACATTGTCATGCAACAACCTGACACCACGGAGACCAGTTGCTGGCCGACGGTTTTCGAAAAAAAAATCTTAAATTTACGAAGAAACCTGCTTTTGTTATTTACAGAGAACTGGAGATTTCCTTAAAATTGCAGCGTTATAATGTACAACACAAGTGTATAATGTTGCAGTCTCGGTTTGATTAAACATGTTTATGAGCATGATTGCTAAAGGCGTGCTACCATCCACGCCCCTATCACCTGCTTAGGCAGATATGAGCCGCGTCACGACAAAACCAACATAATGCGTTTGCGACCAGCATCCGCGCAGTCTGATCAGGATCCATGCTGTTCGCTTACTAACTCTATTACAAGTGGTGAAACTGACAGCGAACAAAATGGATCCATGCTGGTCGCAAACGCACTATGTTGGTTTTGTCGTGTCGCGGCTCATATATCAATATTTAACTATGATATGTTACTGCACGATCAAATTTTGAACTTACTCTGCCTGCTGCTTAAGGTATTATTAAGACCATTCATAACAAATAGTTTATAAAATAGTTGATCACCCACAAAAACAAGAAATAAGAAACGGAAATAACTTCATATTAGTTACTACTAATTAAGAAATTCAGGTTTATAAGTCGTATGGTGAGCGATTTTAAATTTTCATCATATAAACTGATTAACGCAAAGACGGTTTTCATTAATGATGACCTAATGATGAACAGCGTTTTAAATGATGAAAAGCAATGGCCTTAATCAGGTCAGTCAACTTCGTCTTTTATGATATCATTAATCACATTAAATGACTGTTAAATGCTTCATATAAACAAAGTTGGTTCAGTACATGGTTGATTATAGACAACACTGGCTGAATAGAGGTAAACAGAATCCTTAAAGAACAAAACGGCAAAATCAAAACGGCAAAATAAAAAAAAAATGTTGTAAGCTCGGTTTGAATCAGTGGCCAAAAGCCATAAGCTTAAAGAACGTCCAAAAAGGCAAAATAGAAAATTGTTGTAGGGTCGGTTTTAACGAACCTATTCATGAACGGAAGTGGTAACTGCATGTCGACTGTCCACGCCCTCTAGCACCGGAACATGTATGTTTTGTAAGAAGAGTTGTATACATATAAATAGGTAAACGTATCCGTTTTCATTCATATGAATTAATAAAATGACATAACAACTTTTGAAACGAAAACTAAAAAAATCCTGAACAAAGTTTAATGTAATTTTTCAAATTCGATATAATATGTGAGAACTTTTGTACAGTGCAAAAATTAAAATCAATGGCGTATAAACTAAAGCATAAAATAAAACACAGTTCCCTTATTAGCTTATATTCGTATATAATGAAAAGTAGATATGAACATTTCTTAAAACATGATTATTATATGGTTATATATTGTAAAAAACTCAAGGAAATAATAACAGCTTAACTATGCATCGTTAATTCAAAACGCTGGCCTACTCAACATTGTGAACAATGATAGAAATGAGCTGCGTCACGACAAAACCAACATAGCGCGTTTGCGACCAGCATGGATCCAGACCAGCCTGCGCGATCAGGATCCATGCTGTTCGCTTACAGACCCTTTAACAGGTACTGTAGAGAAACTGATAGCGAACAGCATAGATCCAGATCAGACTGCGCGGATGCATGCTGGTCGCTAACGCATTATGTTGGTTTTGTTGTGACACGGCTCAAATAATGAATTGTCTTTCAGTGCAATAAGGTAAAGCGTGAATAAGTCTAGGCAGATCTCGGAAACGATAACTATACCCAGTATGTCGATTCTTACTTTAAACAACTAGTGCTTTTAATTATGATAATGTTTTACTTGTTTGCAAATATCATAATATATCATGTTTTTTTTTTTAAACGTCATATCCTGATTTTACGTTTTAAACATATTAAACTTTAGGATTTTTTTTAACCCAGACATATAGCTTTTACACTATCATAATCTGCTTTTGTTCGTCTTCCGATTTCATACATTGGCTTTTAATTATTCATCATGTCACATTTTATGGGTAAACAAGTAGTATTGCCATCTCAAACATCAGCGTAAAATACAAATGAGCCGCGTCATGACAAAACCAACGTAGTGCGTTTGCGACCAGCATGGATCCAGACCAGCCTGCGCATCCCCGCAGTCTGATTAGGATCCATGCTGTTCGCTTACAAACCCTATTACAAATAGAGAAACTGATAGCGCAGGCTGGTCTGGATCCATGCTGGTCGCAAACGCATTACGTTGGTTTTGTCGTGACGCGGCTCAAATGTAGATTGGATGAAAGGCGATAAAAATCAAATAATCACAATCCCTCTGTTTATCCATTTCTTTATAAAGATGATGAGTTTTGCAGGTGCATATAGTTTGTTCTACTTTGCATTATTAGTTTTATGTCACTTGAAATGACTTTCAATAGTTAGGGTCATGAAAATTATTGTTTTTTTCTAAAAGCTTTTCTCGACTGACATTTTTCACATGTCATTCTTTGGAAAAAATTGACTGTATTTGTTATGTTTTAACATATTTCAACATATTTAATATGTGTTGTTTTTACCTCTCCTGTGTTGTTCTTTTGTGATAAGTTTTTGCCATTGGTAAAGACCCATTCCAGCCTGAACACTCATGCAGTCTGACCAGGCTCTATACTGTTTGTAGCTCACGCCTTGTATTTTGATGTATAAATGCATTATTATATAAATAACACATGGGTTTGTGGGTAACAGTAAAAATATCATCCCGAGGACATACTATAATATTAGAGATATTATCTCGTGGCCACGAGTTATTATCTCGTGGCCACGACTTATTATATTGAGACCACGACTTATTATATTGAGACCACGACTTATTATCTTGTGGCCACGACTTATTATCTTGTGGCCACGACTTATTATCTCGTGGCCACGACTTATTATCTTGTGGCCACGACTTATTATTTCGGGACCACGAGTTATTATCTTGTGGCCAAGATTTATTTCAGCCAATGAAAATGGTCGT